ATTCTGGCTGCACTTCCTCCAGGACAGATCTGTTAGTTCTTTTAGCAGTCCATGGTACTTTCAGCATTCTTCGCCAGCTTATTTACTAGTACTGAAAAAATAGTGCTTTCTTTGTCCTAACTCATACTATCAAAATTTTAGACCTCAAATAGGAAACTGAATCTAAATCCTTTGTTTTCTAGATGAGGGATCTGAGATCCAGAGAACTGATTTGTTAACAGAAGATTCCGAGAGTAGCTAGGAATCTGAGAGAGACCAGAGCAGTCCCATTGAGGACTCTGCAATCTTCGGGCTGCTAATGTGTTAATGTATGTGTTCAAAAGGGTGGCTCATCAGTAATGGAAGAATCAGATTGCATATGTGGATTTAGTCACCTGGATAGTACAGACGAATTACCCTTGGAGAAATAAGATACTGGGGAAGCTCAAGTCCAGTAAAAAGTCCTTCATTAGCAGACCAGCCCATCTTGGATATTCCCTGGCCTCATGTTATATGTGGTCTTTGCAATTTTTCCTTTGTATGTTATTTTTCAGACTTCCTCCTAAGTTGATTGTTTAAAGAGCAGAACAAATATTCCATTTAATTCTATTAGTGGCATTTCTTTATCCCATAGAGCTCCTGGTGGGTTTGAACCACTGACCTTCTGGTTAGCAGATGAATGCTTTAATTACTATGCCACCAAAGCTCCTCTTTGATTGGATTAGGCATGTTATATACAATGTTGGGATTTACTTATTATAATATTAACACAATTGTTTTAAAAACATTTATACTCAAGGAATAAAAAAAAATCTCTATGGAACATTTGTTACAATCGATGAACCAATATTGGCACATAACTAATTAAAGTACACAGTTTACATTAGGGTACATCAATTGTAACAAATGTGCCACACTAATGCAAGATGTCAATAATAGGAGAAACTATGTGCAGAGGGAGAGGAGGTATATAGGAACTCTCTGTACTTTCTGTACAATTTTTCTGTAAATATAGAACTGCTCTAAAAAATAAAGTGTATTAACAGCTTAAGAAAAATGATTGTGATGGAATATCCTCACAGGCACATTCAGCTAATTACTAGTCACACAGATCCTTATAGTGGTCAAGAGTTTTGCAAATAAATGAGTTAAAATAAAGAATTACACAAGATGAAATGTGCTCAGTTACTTGAATTTCTTGTTTTCTATGAATGTCTTTGCTCAGTGCCATTTTTCTAAGATGCACATGTAAATTTTAATAAATAGGCCAAAGTCATGACCAAGTCTTAGGATAACAGAGCAAGATGATTTAAAATTAGGCTTGCTCCTTGCCATATCACTGGCAATACTATAGCAACTCAAGAATAGTGCAGGGTGAGGTCATTCATTTCTCAGACCCTCCCACGTCTTTTAATTCCTTGCATATACATTTAAAATATCTCATAGAGAAGCCAGCCTCAATTAATGTTTGCTAAGAATCATGCTAAATTCAGGTCAAATATAGTAATCTGACTAGGAAAGAAATGATAGTACTAGTGGAGTTGTCTTACTCAGTATTACGGGTGTCCACAATGGAGGTGAGGGACCCCAGGTGCTCCTCCAGAACATTAATTCTGTATCTCATGTAGAAGGTCGAGATGATTAGTGCACAGACACTGGAAGGAATGAAAAAAGGAATTCTCAGTAGGTTCATGACCAGGACCTGATGGTAATAAAACTATAAACTCAGAGCCAGTGCCGTACTTTAGAGGCAAGGCATTTTCCAAAATAACTTCGTTAATGAGATTTTAAGAAAGTCTTATTTCAAAGTCTACTGTTTGTCACAAGACCTTAACTCTGGAAGGGAACTTAAAATCTTCTAGCCCAAATCCCTCATTTTACAAATAATGGCCACTCTAATATGACTGATCATGATCAGATCCAAGTTGGAGTATCAAGTCAGTGTTCCTCCTCTCACGTGGGACTGTCTCGCTCTGCCAGAAGGCGAGCACCCAGCCTTGTTCTCTGGTAACTCCTGATCCTCTGCATTATCTGGAAACTGGGCATATGCTACTTGGTTGGGGGGATTAGCTTAGAACTGGGTCAGGGTATTTTCAGAACAATAACTGGTCACAGACTGGAAGTTGATGGGGAAGTGTACAAATCAATGTCTAATTTCTTAGGAAAGGGGATAATATTTTAGATTTGTTTTCGGCCTCTATTGAAGGGACACGTGATAGATGGAAAAATAAATAACAAGGAAAAAATAATGCTTCAATTCACAGAACAATTTCCCAATCAACAGGATCTACTCAGAACTTAGTCCTCTGCTGGATTTGGAATAGTCATTTTCCCTTTCCATCCTCCCTTCTTGCTACTTCCTTAAATAAGAGGGGAATGAATATGAATCTGTGATTTAAGTTCACCAAAGTAAAGTGCTGAGGTAGGAGATAAAAAGTGTCAAAGAAAATATCTGGGTCATATTGGAGACATTGTAAAGAGAATAGATTATTGTTTTAGAGAACTGAATTACTATCTTAAGTCATTAACAGTAAATTCATTTACTTACACAATTGCATAAACTATAAGAATGTGGTGGAGAGTCAGACATTTCTGAGACCTTACTTTGTGTAATATTCCAATGGTTTCTGGCTGACCTGTTAGGTGCACAAAAAGAGACAGTTTTAAAACCATAACACACCTACTTCATCCAACAGTACTCCTTGAGAGAGACTTATCTACACGTAAGGAAAATCAGAAAAAAAAATTAACTGAAAGCTTCCCATTAGCCAATAATTTTAATTGTAATTCCTTAGCCAATAATTATAATTCCTTCACCATACATTCAATAAATATTTATTGAGGGTCTTCTTTGTGTCAGGGAGCCCTGGTGGCATAGTGCCTAAGGCATTTGACTGCTAACCAGAAGGGTGGCAGTTCAAACCCACCAGCCACTCCTCAGAAGGAAAACAGGGCAATCTACTCCTATAGAGATAACTGCCTCAGAAACCCAAGGAGGGGTCGCTATGAGTCAAATTGACTCAACAGCAGTGAGTTTCTTTTTTTTGTTTGAGTTTTTCTTTGTATCAAGCATTGTGTTGGAGTCAAAGGTGAATAATATAGATACTATCCTTGCTCTCATACCAGTACAACCGATAACCAGTTATTAAAATAATTAGTAAATAAGAAATAATTTATCACTTTTTTATCTGCAATTTATTTATTTAGCATTCTTTCTGACCATTAAACCAGCAATACCTAGACAAGTCCAGGACAAACCTAGGGAGAAGTATGCCCTCAGGAAGAGGGTGCTTGAAAGCGGATTACGCTCCCACAAAGAATTAGGGAATTGACCTGCATGTGCCCTTGATGATTTACTGAAAACAGTTGCAGGTTATCTGCTTTAAATTAGTGGCTGGGTCCTGATATTGCCTTTTTTCCTTCACTTTTTATTGTGATTTATCCAGATTTTACAGAGCAGATTCATTTCACATTCAACACTTCATACACATTTTGTTTTGTGACCCTAATTATAATCCCCACAGTGTAATAGCTCTCCTTGTACTTCCTCCCTGTGGTTACCTGCAATTTTTTTAAATTACAAACTCAAAGTATTCAGCATAGTGAAGTGACTCCCACGAAGGCTATTCACCTTTGTATTCCCAATAATAAAGCACTAGTCACTGTCTGCTGAAAGAATAAATGAATTAATATGCGAAGACCTACAATGGGAAGTAGGGGGAAGGTTATGTGAAAGGCAGTCAATTAGGACTCATTAAAAATCACAGACAGATGTCAAAAAAAATTAATTAAAATCAATCAATCAATCAATCAATCTGTTCCTTACCATGTGCAGGAAGACCCTTGGCTTTTCCTTCAGTTACTCTGTTCACATGGGCATCTACCCGAGTTGGTTTTGCTTCTCCTTTGGAGACATTCAGAACTGTCTGGGACTCTGTCACATGGAAATCTATCAAGAAAAACAGAGCAAGGTAAGTCTTCTCTCCAATGCCTTTAAAACACATAGGCTCAACCTCAAAGCAAGTAAATCCCTTAATATGTGTAATGCCTGAGACTATACACAGATCTTCTTAAAAGTTGATTGAGGTGGCTGGGGGTTGAAAACCAATGCTCAAGCAAATAAATAATACATGATATAAGGATAGTCTGCACCTTCCTGATTCATAAGGATGATTCAGCATAACAATTAATCATATTACTTAAATAAAAGTTAAGAAAGTATTATACATTTTTCTCTTTCAATCATCACAATATAATTTCTGTTTAAGAGACAGTGGTTAAATGTATATCAAGGGAAAAAGAAATAGATTTTCACCGTATAAGTAATTCTTTTCTCTCAAACAAGCTACTCTTTCTCTAGATTTCTTTCCCAAATGTTAATTAGGAAGACAAAGTGCTTTTTTTTTTTTTTTTTAAAGGGTTGCAGTGCAGATGTTTTGTGGAGGATTAAGTTTTAGTAGTCAAATTACAATGATTTCCAGACCTCGAGAGTTCTCAGATTCAGGAGTCTGAGAGCCAGAACTACTGTATCCTTCCAGGTCTTCTTGCCTTCTTTGTTGAACCACTCCATCCAGATCTGAGAATTCATCATTGAAATCCTGAGCAGAAATAGTTAAATGAAGAGAGGTCAATTTTCCCTTATTAAACAAGCAGGCTTTTGTAACCCCTACCCTTTGCACTTAGACTTGCTCTATAAAATGCAGAAAAGAAGGAACAACTACTACGTACTACTGGGTTCTTCCCAATAGATCACCTAGTACAGTAAAACTTGGAAACGTTTGGACCTGGGTAAAGTGAAAATGTGTCAGAGAAAGAAAACGAAAATATTTCCCACTAAAAAGAGGGACAGAAAAGTGGTAAGACTGCAAAGGTTGAAAACTTGTGAGATCTGAAAAAACAAGGCAGTCTTGTTGAGTTCCGGCTCTCACACATTTCTCTGTATTTGGTTACGGAAAGTGAGATTTTTCTGGGCAGTTAGAATTCTGTCAACACTGGCCAACTTCTTTGAAGCAACAAATGTGTAGAAAAAGCTGGAATGCCAGTTATTGAAAAGCTTTGAATGAAAAGCTAGAGACATCCCATTAGCACTCTGTAATGGGAAAAACTGGCTGCTATAGACAATACTAGGAAAAAGAGTGGATGGAAAGCTCTAACAGTATGTTTGGAATATGCAGACAAGTTGAAAGAAAGTACTGGAAACAGAAGAGAGAAAATGGCTATAGTAAATTATACTCTGAAAATTTTACCTTTCTTCTTCCCTCAAATTCAACAGAAAGTAAAATAGGGTCACTGCTATCACACTTCAATAATGGAAGGATAATAGAGGATTAAGGGAAAAAGCAGAGATCCTTCACTTTGTATGTCGCTGGTTCCCCCAAAGTGCTAAGAACTAAAGAGATGAAAAAGTGTTGTTAAATTGTCTTGGGGAAGGTACAATTAGACTGAAATTTTAACAATTTAGTTAGCAGTCAAATGAAGAGATTCACTCATCTTGTAGGCAAGTTACCCACATTTTCTCTCGAACTAGGTCGAGAGAAACTGGTCATTTCAACACTCATTTCAATTTCATTCAAGAATTTATAGAGGAAGGAAAATTGAAAAATTAAAGTCTCTTTAATATAATAATGATGCTTTGAATGCCTATCACATTATCAGGTAGTATGCAAAACTACTGCACACATTATTACATATATTCTTCACAGCCACACCATGAGATTGGCATTTTATTGGATCAAGAAACTGAGTCAGACAGTTAAGAGCTTGCTTGAAACCAGACTTGTTGGATTTCAAATCATCTGTGTTTAATTCTATATTGGACAGCTTCCCTACTTTTTTTTTAAGTAGTTTTTTTCAATAGAAACAAAATTCACCATTTTAACCATTTTCAAGTATACAATTCAGTGATTTTTAGCACAGTCACAAGGGTGTGCAGTCATTGTTACTATCCAATTCCTGAGCATGTCTGTACTTGAAATAAGAAATTCCGTACCCATTAGCAATCACTCTCTCTCTTCCTTCGCCAACCCCTGACAACCACTAATCTAAAGCTGTCCTTAAGGATTTGCCTATTTAGGACATTCCATATAAAATGGAATCATTCAGTATGTGAATGTGGACTTTTGTATCTGGATTCTTTCACTTATCACCATGTTTTCAAGGTTCATCCATGTTGTAGCATGTATTATTTCATTCCTCTTTATATGCACATAACATTCCATTGTATGAACACACTATATTTTGTTTATTTGCCAGTTGATGGACATTAGGATTGTTTCTACTTTGGGCTACTATGAATAATGCTGCTATATACATGCTTGTACCAGTTTTTGTGTGAACATGATTTCAATCACATTACTTATTTTAAATAACTTATTTTTGTTATTGTTGTTTTAATAATTCTGAAAAAAGATTTGGAGATGTTGAATCTATGGGCTCATACTCTTTCACCAAAGATATTTCAATATTTAATAATAATCATTTTAATGATATGACTAGGACTCTCTTGGGCAAACATATAAATCTGGTATAAACAAGGGGAGCTAGTTCCCACTGGAGATTTACCCTACAGTCAACAAAGAGTAAGGGTATCAAGGAATCTCTCTACCTTTCACTTGAACATTGTAGCTTCTTCTTTTGTAGCTATTCTTGGGTAGCTACATCTTCTCTTGTGAGCACTCAGTCTCTGAAGGTGAGAACTCCTTTAGAGTTTGCTGCTATTGTTACAGTGTACAATAGCACAGTGCCTTGAACATGCCAGACATTCAATAATTTGCGAGATGAATCCTGCTCTACACAAAATGGACTGTGAATCCCTCTAAAACAACATTAACAAGCAAACAGAGGAGGGCACTATGAACACCTTCAATAACCAGTAATTCCCCAATACAATTCCTATCAAGTTTTTTTCCATAGGACAAGCCTTCAATTACTTAAAAAATTCTTATGGCCTCCTATTATCCTCTCTTCTTCAGGACAGAAATGCCCTGTTCCTTGAACTGTGTCTCAGGTATCAGTCCTATGTTCCCCTTCTGAGAAACAATTTCTAAGGGTTGCTGGAAGTTGGAATTTGACTCAACAGCAATAGGTTGGATTTGGTTTTTGGGTTATGTTCCTCCTACATCCTTGATCACACTATAAGAAGAAGTGAAATTGTGGGACATATTTCCTTACTTTTGCATTTAGAGAGCTGAATAGGCAACTCACCAGAGGCAGAGATGAAGGGCGTTCTGCCTGGAAACTGTTCTCAGGAGAAGCCGGATTGGGGCTGCTACCAACACTTGTATTCTGAAATTATTGAAATAAAACGAAAAAAAAGATCAACTACTAAACCACAAAATACATAAAATAGATATAGTAACTCAGGCTCAGAGATGTCAGACTTACATCTAAGTGTCCACACACAGACTTTAGTAGTTTGTAAGTTGAATCTCTGCAGAGTAAGGAGACAAATATGTACTGAAAAACAAAGCAGAATAATTATTTACAGATATGGCCTAACGAGAAGCTGATGAGGAGAGTTCAGAGTTAAGAAAGATATATGTATGTATTTTTTTCATTTTCAAATGACATAGACCATTCTTTGGTCTGTATTTTTATTCCTCTCACACCAACATTGAATTTTCCTTCCAATTTTGGAATAAAGTAAATACTATCCCCTACAATAGCAACAAAACTTCCAAACTCAATTTAAGTAATAAGGAAATATAGGGCAAAATAAATGGTGATGCTTGTCAGATCCTCTTTAAAAATCTCTCCTTTTTGTTCTTACTTTTTAAGATATCTTACAATTCCTGTGAGTTCCTGGGCGGCTCAATGGTTAACATGCTTGGCTGTTGATCAAAAGGTTGCAGGTTCTAGTCCATCCAGGAGTGCCTCAGAAGAAAGGCCTGGTATCTCCTGAAAACTCAGCGATTTGAAAACTCTATGGAGCACAATTCTACTGACACCATGAATCGGAATCAACTCAAGGGCAACTGGAAAAAAAGCTAACAAAAAACAAAAAACAGAAAAAACAATTCCTAAGGGTTTGCTTTCTCTGCTCTGACTTAGATTTCTATTGAAAAATTCTCAGATGCTCTAATAGGCAACCTTTTCAAACACTTTCAAATTCTTTCTTGCATAAATATGGAGATTTTCTAATGGATGTCTATGGTAAATAGTAAAATCTAAACTAGACAAGGAATTTGGAGATAAATGACATAAGGAAAAATGATTTCACCGTACATAAGATTCTCTTGTCTTAGGGAAACTGGAAAAATACATATTCAAACTTATCTTTTGTGATGTAATTAGCCATAGAAACTTTTCAGATCCTCTTTCCATTAGTTTGTTGTTATCACTTTCATTAACCAATGAAAACACTTGATGTAATTTCTAAGCAAGTATTCTGTTCCAAAGTAGTTAATATTATGAGGTCTGGCACTAGACAGACCTGGATGCAAATTTTGGCTCTAACACTAACTGGGTGACACTGGGCAAATTGCTTAACCACTCTTAGCTTCAGTTTTCGTAACAATAACTTAGCCCTTATAGGGTATAGAATAAATATGTGGAATAAATGTGAAAATCAAAGTTAAGTATTTAGCATAGTGCCTGGAGTACATGAAGTAAGTACTCAATGCTTGTCAGCAAGTATTATTTTAAAGAAATCAATCACAAAAATACATATTGACATACTTCCTAGCTGATCAGAACAGCCTCTTTTTTTCTTTCCTTCTCCTTCTTTTTCACCACATGTTATCCATGTCTAAGAAATTTGGTTAGAAATGAAATTGTAGCTTTTATGTTTCCATAAAATACTAGGTAAAATATTTAAAAAAAAAAAAAAAGTCAAGCAAAAAAAGAGGAACCAAACTACTTCACTCTGTCTCTCTCTCCTGCCAAGCTCAAACACACACCACTTTCAATGTAAATGTCTCTGATTGGACAGGTCTAGGAGCTCTGGTAGCATAGTGACTAAGACACTTGCCTGCTAACCAGACGGCTGGCGGTTCAAACCCACCAGCCACTCCTCGGAAGGAAGGTTGGGAAATCCTACTTCCATAGTGATACTGCCTCGGAAACCCAAGGAGGGGTCGCTATGAGTCAGGGCTGACTCGACGGCACATAACAACAATAACAACAAAGGGTAACCCAACAATCATTGATAGCTCCAACATTAAGTTAAGGCAACCTGGTAGGAAAGGTGGGCTAGGAACTAGTCCTGAAGCTGCCATTGCCTGGGAAGCACTAGTTGTACGTATCTGGGATGACTATGGGGAGGTACTGGTTGGGGTTCTGAAGGGGGTAATCATGCCAGGCTCACCCCAAGGACTTCTCAGTGTACCCCTGCCTCACTCTATACACAAGGCTGTAGCTGTTGTCTTGTTTTTAACATTAAAGAACTGAATATGTCATTTTTGCCTGACCTAACATATTAGGGAAAGGGAAATTAGAAAAGAATAATTTTTTTGACCTTGGTTAAACAATATGACCAAGTAGTTGATATAATTAAGTCAGCAGGAAGTTCAAAATTGGCAACAATTATATTCAAATAAATCAGCTAGTGAAGGAAACCACACTTTATAAATGTCTAAAGGTTATGATTTTTTTTTCTAAATTTCATTTATTTTGTTGTTGAGAATATATACAGCAAAACATATACCAATTCAACAGTTTCTACATGTATACTTTAGTGACATTGACCACATTCTTCAAATTGTGCAACCATTCTCATGCTCCTTTTCTGAATTGTTCCTCCCTCATTAACATAAACTCACCATCTCTTAAATTTCCCATCTAATCTTTCAAGTTGCTGTTGTCAATTTAATCTTACATAGATAGTTCTGAAAAGAGCATAATGCTCTAGGCAGATTTTTCTTTTAACTGTGATTTGGGTGAAAGTTTACAGAGCAAATTCACTTTCCATATAGCAGTTCACATACACTTTGTCTCATGACATTGACTACAATTTACCCCAATGCAACAGTTTCCCTCCCACTTCTTCCCAATAGTTACCTCTTCCCTGTGTCCATCCCTCCATGCACTCCTGCCCCCTGAGCTATCTCCCTGTGCATAAATAGCCCTTCTTTCTCCCATGATTGTTCTCTCCAAGGAGTGTATTCAAGGCAGATATTTTTTACTAGTTAAGATAAACACTTTTGTTTAGTTTTAAGATGACTTCAGAGGATATTTTTGGTTTAAGGTTTGAAGATTATCTTAGAGTAGTAGTTTCAGGGGTTCACCTACCTTCCATAGCTCCAGAAAGTCTGGAGTCCATGAGCATTTGATACTCTATTCTGCATTATCCCCCTTTTGATTTGGATTCTTCTATGGAATCTTTGATCAAAATGTTCAGTAATGGTGGCCAGGCACCATACAGTTTTTTTGGTCTCATGACAAAGGAGGCAGTTGTTCATGGAGGCAATCAGCCACACAATTCATTTCCTCCTCCTATTCCTGACTTTCCTTCCTCTGTTTCTCCAGGTGACTAGAGACCAATTGTTGTGCCTTGGATGGACACATGCAAGCTTTTAAGATCCAGAGACTACACAACAAACTTGGGAGGTAGAATAGAAGTATTAATCATGTTATTAGACCAATTAACTGGGATGTCCATGAAAAAAAAAATCTCTGATTCACTACTGGGGATGAGATTAGTATCTATGGTTTAGGGTCCTGGTCCTTGGCAAGAGGGCCCTGAGGCAATGGAGCACAGAACAGGAGGAGAAACCAAGGCACTCTCAACTCTGCATGTACTCACCCTGCCTGTGACTGTTGCAATAATCAGGGCATTTGGCACCAGAAGGGCAGTTTTGGTTTTCTTTATTAGGGTTACTGAGAAAGCCGGAATGGAGATCTGAAACAGAATCACCAGGTTAGTACTGGTTCAATCTTCACAGAACAGCATTTTAAATTTTCATGCTATACTTTAAGTTAAAGAAAGATAGATCAGGCAATCAATACCAGCAGCAAGCTCTTCAGACTCCAGGAAGAAAACTTAAGTCTTAGAGAGCAGCATGGAGTGTGGCACTGAGCACCTTAAATAGGTGTTTGCAAAGCCAGAGGATAAATCTAGATCATCAATTCTACTGGCTGGGGTTGGTGGGAAACCTTTATCTCTAAATAAATATAGGAATAGAATACAAAATCCATATTTCTTTTTGAGCTAAACCCAAGGCCCTAAAGAAGTTTCTCTCTTGTGGTCAGCTACTCTGTGCTAACCCCACTGTACCCACTCACCTCTGTCCTTGGGCATACGTGCGTGGGGAAAACAATGAAAAGTTCTGGTGTAGTGGAATGATCATTGGACATGAATTCTCAACTCAGTTCTTTTACTATCTACATGACCTATGACCCATTCAATCTTATAAAAGTATATCCTTTCTATGCCTCAGCTCCTGATTCTTACAATGGAGTCAATCTTAACTACTTCCCATGATTTTGTGTGGATTAAATGAGATATTCTTTGGAAAATACCCAATAATCAATAAAAATTTCATTCATTTCATCATGTTGTTGTTATGTGCCACTGAGTCGGCCCCAACTCACAGCGACTTCTCCTTGGGTTTCCGAGGCGGTATCACTATGGAAGTAAATTGCCCAACCTTCCTTCTGAGGAGTGGCTGGTGGGTTTGAACCGCCAGCCTTCTGGTTAGCAGTCAAGTACCTTAGGCACTATGCTACCAGAGCTCCTTCATTTCCTCATATGTCTCATAAAATAAGGATGGGTGAAATAAAATAACTCTTCAGATTCAAACAATAAAGAATAACAATGACAATTGTACCAACTACCATTATTAATACCTTTTTAGCAGATGAGAATGTCAGTTAATTATGATTATCTTATAAAGTAGGTATATAAGGAAATTTGTTTAGACAGGTACGTGACATGTTCAACATATAAGAAGTTACAAATACAGAATTTGAACTAACTTGATCTAAAATGTAAGTTCTTTTCAATATAATATGCTATAAGAATGTATGTGATGCCACAAAGAGAACAGTATTTGTAATTATACTTTTATATCCCTTCAACAAGGTTTTGTCTCAAAGAAAAACGGGTTATATCATTTCCATACCTGAAAATAGAATCACACAGATGCACGGTAAAAAGAAAATGATCTGAGTCCCTCTCCACGTCCATAGGTACATTCACTCATTTGCACATATTTTCTAAAAATGTTTCATATTTTTTTTGAACATTTTATAGTGGTTTGGGTGAAACTTTACAGAGTAGTTTCTCATTCAGCAATTTATGCACATTTTGTTTTATGACATTAGTTGCAATCCCCTGAATGTAACAACACTCTTTCTGCTTCCTCCATTCCTCCATTTTTCCTGCCCCTTCCTGCCTTCTGAACTTTGTTTTTGGGCAAATGTTTCACATATTCTGAAAGAGATTAATGATGACATTGAAGAAGAGAAGGGTCTTACATGTTAATATTGCCAGCTTGACAGAAGAAAACTGAGCTTTTAATGTTGAATATTTACATTCATATTTGGGCTTATTAGATGGGGTTTACTCTACTTTCTCAAAGTTCTGGACAGGAATAGGTGCTAATTCAAATTAAACTTTTTTAAAATGCTACTTTGCCAAAGAACTATACTCATAGAAATTTTAAAGGGTGAGAGATAATTCAGAAGTTATAAGCTGAAATAACTTTGGGAAAAAAAATTTAAAGACATACCAAGACAGAAGATGATAAATAAATGAGTCTAATTTTCTTTCTGAGAAGGATCACAAACATGCAGTGACAGGGGCTATAAGGGAGGCTTTTTCATAATCTAATTCAAGGGACACCCTTAAGGAGGTTTTAATCAATTGCTTCATGAATGTAAGATTATAAGTAGCTTTACATTTGTGAAATAAAGCATAAATCACTTTTTAGTTTGAGCCTAGAAGGAATGTGGTAAGGCATGCTAATTTTGCAAACATTTGAAAATACTGACAGGTTGACTAAACGATCCTGATTAAATTAAAGCTACCCTTTATTAATAGTTTTCCAAGGGTGAGCTGCTTAGAAAATTTCTTTTCCTACAGCAATTGTTGGGAGCTCTGGTAGCATAGTGCCTAAGGCACTTGACTGCTAACCAGAAGGCTGGCAGTTCAAACCCACCAGCCACTCTTCGGAAGGAAGATGGGGCAATCTACTTCCGTAGTGATACTGCCTCGGAAACCCAAGGAGGGGTAGCTATGAGTCAGGTCTGATTTGATGGCACATAACAACAACAACAAGAGCAATTGTTGGGGTGCCTTCAGTTCATATTGAGTTATGTTGGACACAGGTCAATTGACAGGGAGGCAATAGCAGAATAGATCTGAATTACAAATACCCACCAGCAACTCCTTGGAAGGAAGGTTGGGCAATCTACTTCTGTAGTGATACTGCCTCGGAAACCTAAGGAGGGGTCGCTCTGAGTTGGGTCTGACTTGACGGTACACAACAACAACAATAGTTCTGTGGATTACAAATACCATATGTGTGGTAGTTAAGGTTGTGTGTCAACTTGGCTGAGCCTAGTTGGGTGGCTGGTCAGCTTGATGTAGTTACTGCCCATGGTGAGATTGGCAATCAATTCCATGGTGGAATCTACTGGAGCAGCTAAGTAGCTGCTTTAGGGAAGGTCTCCAGCTTTTTGGTATGCTTAAACTCGGCATGTAGTCAAGTCATTGTTCAGTAGCCTGCTGCTCTTGAGACTTGTTCTAGACTTGAATTAGTGGCTTGCCATGTTATTTGGTAATATCGGGACTGTGCCTTTTTACTTGTTGACCTTGGATTTATCAGCCTCAGCAGCCAGCAGCTGCCTGAGTGAAGAGAAGCCTCTAGCTTCAATGGGCCAGGAGCAGAAGGCAGAGCTGAAACCCAAGGTTGAAGGGCTTTTACCCAGCTCCTAGAGCCTGGCACTTTGAATTTGGACATCTAGCCTCTAAAACTGTAAGAGAATAAAGTCCTCTTTGTTCAAGCCATCCCATTTGTGGTATATTTCTGTTAGAGCGGCATGAAGTAACCAAAACAATATGCAAAAGCAATCCCTGTGCCAGGGTCACTTTTAACATATTTTTGTCAGTTTTCCGGTAAAAGCAGGATTTTGGAACCATTGCCTAGAATCGTATTAGCTCAAAACTGTATTTACTGTCTTTGTCAATTACCCATCCCTTAACAGACTAATTCTTTCTTCACTAATGTCTTTAACTGCTACTGCTTTGGTCACAGGTGTAGGCTCTCTTTGGATCCCTGCAAACTATCTTTATCACCTTGATCTGAGATCAATTCTATCCAACTCTCTTCGTCACTCTTGGAACCAGTTCTCGTAATTTAGAAAGATGGAAATGTGGTAGAATACTATGAATCAAAATATGTTTACCTAAATATAACTCCAAGGAGCTCTGGTGGCATAGTGCCTAAGGCATTTGACTGCTAACCAGAAGGTTTGTGGTTCAAACCCAGCAGCCACTCTGCAGAAGGCAGACTGGGCAATCTACTTCCGTAAAGATTTACTGCCTTGGAAACCCAAAGGGGGTTGCTATGAGTTGGAATTGACTAGATGGTAGTGAGTTTGGTTTTTAGCATGCTTAGCCTAAAGAATAGTATGTTAGTCTCATTACATACAACAAAATAAAGAATTTCCATTTTATTTGTTAAGTGGTCTTACAGAAGATAGTCAGTGGCTTTAGGGAGGTTATTTAAATAAAACACATTTACCACTTAAAACAAGTTGTTAATCTGCTACTTCATAAATAAAAAAATTGCTGATTCATAATCCAGAATCAGAATGCTTGGAAACTCACTGAAGTTATGGGAACCCCAAAAGATGTTTCTCTGAGTATTCTGTGGCCTGAATGAACTGTGATGTGACATCATAGTTCAAAGGACAAGAATGTCAGTGTGATGGATCATCTTTTCCAGCCTTATGCCACCATCCCAAGGTCTTCATTTTAGGAGGTGGTGCCTAAAGACTGCCAATCCTTCAATCTCTCCTTAACAGCTCAACATTTGATGGGCTTCCCGTCCTCCAAAGCTACATTTAATGAGCAGATGTCATACCAGACTCTACTTGTGATTGTGGGTATGTGACTCTGGGACTAGGCCTTAAATAATCCAATGCCTGGTCATTTCCTGCTGGTGCTGGTACAAATTAAGCACTAATAAGTAGCTTGTTTATAGGCCTGTTTTCTTAGATACCTCTCTTGATACCTGGAATGAATGCTAAAACCCACCACTGTCGAGTTAAGACAGAGTAAAACTTCCCTATAGGGTTTCCAACGTTATAAACCTTTACGGAAGCAGACTGCCGCATCATTCTCCTATGGAGCGGCTGGTGGATTCGATCACTAACCTTGAGGTTAGCCAAGTGCTTTAACAACTGTGCCATCAGGGCTCCTTACTGGTATGAATAAGATATAAAAATCAGTATTTCTTCAAAAAAATGGTTTTGATTTTAACGTATGTCTTTGAAATAAATTATCGCATATTCTCCAGGTCAACTACTTTGAATGTTCTCTGGTGATATGCGGATTTAGAGTATGGCTATGAAGCAGTGTATGTGTATGTATATAAGGAAAGGAGCAAGAGAGCAGTGTTTAGGGAAAAAGGAAAGTTAGTGTCATCTGGAGGCACTTAGAATCTGTAATATATGGGACTACAACACAGGAAACCTGGCATAAAGTATAATGATGATTAAAATATTAATAAGTATCACTCAATTTCATTGACCAATAATATATTTTTAAAACAATATTCACAATATGCAATGAATGGGCAGTGTTAGTTTGTTTTTTAAAATTGTACCAACTTTAGTGTCTTTTCCAAAGACTTTCGAGTAAAAACAAATCCAGTTTTCTGATACAAAGAGCTTTCCTTGGTATAGTATTTCTTTCTGTAGAGCACAGGTAAAGCCTGGGAAAAGATATAACATTATTTAGAATTTCCATTAAAATAAAAATTTTACATACATGTATTTTGGTGACTCAGAGATGGTAAAAGATAATACACTATCTTCCTTCTTTTTCAGTCATCTTTAGGGGAATAAAGCAGCCAAGATTAATTTGTTTTTTGAATTCAAAATCTTACAAAGTTTACTATGAAAATCAAAATGGAAAGGCAAATCTAGCATTCCATAGAAGAGATCAAGAATGATGTTTTCAAAAATCACTTCTCTTTAGGAAGATATGTTACTTGTGGGCTAACATTAGCACCCATGCCCTTCCCTAATGGCTCCTTCTGAAATAAGTGGTATCAGTGGGGGAAGAGCACACCTTCCTGTTTGGAGATCGTGGCAGGAATGCAGCCTCTGTATAGCCAGAGAGGTTAGCTTGGAACCTTGGCCCCTTAAAGAACCATTGTACCGCAGAGTAGGTGCTTAGCTGGTATGCTGGTGAGGACGTTTAGGTTTGAGTATCACACCCTCTATGTTGCAGGTATCCAACACATGTCTGTGCACTTAGATTTGTGTTCTTTTTGATTCTTCTAGGCTGTGCAGTGGTTAAGCATTTGGTTGCTAACTGAAAGCTTAGCAGTTCAAGCCCACCAGCTGCTCAGTGGGAAAAAGATGTGGCAATTGGCTTCCATAAAGAAGCAAAACCCTGGAAACCCTGTGGGGCAGTTCTACTCTGTCTTCCAGGGTCAACTACAAGTTGGAATTGACTCAATGGCTGTGGGTTTAGTTTGGTTCAGTAGTGGCCACTAGTGCCCTAGGATTGTAATCATAAATTTCAGGGCAATCTAATCACATATATTTCAGCAGTGAATACAGAAGGTGAGGATATCATTCTGGAACCACTGGAACCACTTTAAATTGTTACTATCATGGGGAGATTCTCATTCCAGCAGTTTCTCATTCTACTATCTTACCTTTCATGGCCCTTGGTAAGAGCTGAATGAAACAGGCATTGTTTTTATATCACATCTTCCAGGAACCTCTTCCCCTTGGCAACTCAATCCCCAGATCATGTCCTTGCTCTCCTCCAAAACTAATTAGCATCTTTTCAAACATTTAGCTTAAAAAGTCAAACAGGTCAGAACTTACTTTGCCTCAGTGGTTCTTCAGTTGGGACATCAAGAAACAACTTGTGAAAGTGCATATTTGCCTTGTACTACAATGAGAACAAAATACAGGCATCATTGCTCTCACTTTTCTGTGAAACATCACAAATTTTCATTTCAATTAAAATTAAATAACCAATTTTCCCTCCCTTCATTGCATCTTCAGGAATTCCTTCTTTCTGATCTCAAACATAATCCTTCAGTGAAAAACAGCAGAAGCCAGGTCACAAAGTGTTTCATACTCTAGTAAGACTAGTGACTTGTTGGTTGGACATGCATTTACAATAACAACACAGCTGGTGGTCAGCTTTTTGCCAAGAAACAGGGCTGAACAAGAATGTCCCTGAGAACAAACAAGATGAGATTCTAGGGTGTCTCACAAGGGAAGGGAGTAAATCCTGGGCAATCAAGAGAGGCAGAAGAGTACAGTGGTTAGAGCTCTGTAGTCAGATAAACTTAAATACCCTTAGAGTATTATGAATGATTATTAATGTCTGGAAGAAAAAAATTAAAGTCCAGTTTTCTTGCGATATAATAATCAAGTCTGTCCATCCTTCCAGATTCTCTCAGACTTACACCTACATTCATCCTGACCAGCAGGAAGCTGCAAACGTGGGTTCTTTCTTTCCACTGGCCTCAATACTTCTGTCATCCTCTGAGACAGTACACATTCCATTTGCAAATTACCTGGCTAGAAGATGAAGATTTTTTTCTTTTCAATCTTGCTTTCTGTTTTACAATCGTTCTTAAGTGTTGACACTGCCTCTTTTTTGGTGTATGATCATGGCCTAGCCACTTAACCTCAGTTTCCTTTTCTGTGCCAGATGGCAAAAACAGTACCTGCCTCAGTGGGGATATCATAAAGTTTGTATGAGAAAACATCTAAAGGATCTATTGCCTGAGGCAAAATATGGTAACTATTACAACTATTATTTCAGAGGTATTTTCTTAGCCAGCCTCAGGGGGAGAGGACTTTCAAGACAAGTAGGATTTCATACCAAAGACTCTCTAGGGCACTAACAGGCCCAAGAGTCTGAAATGCTATTAATCACTTCATTTTCAAGGCATCAGTTTTCACACTGACAACAATGTACAGATGGCAATTTATAGTTTGTGAAAATGATTTCACAAATGTCATTCTTATAGTAACCCCATGAACCTGATGTCCCCATGCCATGAATTAGGACACTGTGTCTCAGGGCTATCAATTGACTTAACCAGCACCACACAGCTATTAATAGTTAGAACTGGGTCCTCCTAAAGGACCCCTCATCCTCACAGGATGCTTTTGATAGAAAAGTCTTATGAGATAAGCACAAATATGCCCTTGATGTGTTATCCAAAGTACAAGTAGTCTTAACAGAAAAACAGGCTTATTACTGCCATAAAAAAGAGCTACAGAGCAGGTCATCAAGATGATAAATGGTCTCTGTGAATCAGCTATTTTACAGATAAACACCTTATATAAAGAGAGTTACTGCATGCTATTTCCTGGAGCACATTTTTATCTAGAAAGTTGCCTTCATTAATGCTGGGTGTTCTAGGGGAGCTTTACTAAGATTTTATTTTTAAAAGCACAGTGAGCACTGGCTGCACACTTGATTTTAAAATATCCCAGGGAATGAACTCTTTAAAAATATCCATGTAATAAGTCAAAGTTTTTTTTTTTTTTTTAAAAAAAGGTGGGGGACTAATTTAAACGAAATAAATGCAATGTAACTCTTTAATTGGATCCTGGAGAGGAAGAGAAAATTTTATAAAGGACAGTCATTACTGAGACAATTCTAAAAATAATATATACATTTTATATTCATTAATATTCATATGTATTTAATATTTAGCTAAATTTATCATGTGTGTGGGCCCCTGCCCCACCCTGTTCCCCCACCCCCTTTAGGAGATACATGTTCAAGTATCTAGGTGTTAAATATTAAACAAATAAACGACATACATACATACATACATATCTCTAGTCCAGTAAATGTGTCACACTCTATATGACACAACTGTGCTTTGTACTTATGTGGGTATATTTTAGAGAAGAACCAAAATGACTTCTGGAGGAGAATGATGACCCTGTTCACAGGTTTTCTTCTATGAAAAAAGATGGGTGGCCTTCTATTCAGGCAAGTACCTTGGCAGATTCTTTCATTTTAATGCAAGGATGTCATCCCCCTCTTCATCTTTTTAATTATTAGGGAAGCACATTACTCTGGGTTGGTCCCTGCTCTCTGGGTACTTGCCAGAGTTAAGGTCAGAGCCTGGAACTCTTTGCCCCTCAATAACTGTTGAAAGGTCAGTTGTGAAACATCTTATCGATGGAAGATTGACCGAAGGAACTGCAGCCTGTCTGTTCTTCTAGAGTCTCTCAAATCTAGATTCATCCTGACCAGCAGGAAGCTGCACACTTGGGTTCTTTCTTTCTACTGGTCCTCATACTTCTGTTATACTCTGAGACAGTACACATTCATTTGCAAATTACCTGGCTGGAAGAGGAAGACTTTTTCCTTTCAATTTTGCTTTCTGTTTTACAGTCATTCTTACTGCTAGTTAAGGAGGCACCATCAAAACTGGATTTTGACCTGGGGAAAGAAAATCCAGGGACTCTATGAGATGGATATTTTATGCTATTTCATTAATTTTCTTGTAATAAATCTTTAATATTATATAATATCACAAGAGAATTGGACTTTCATTTTTCTCTTCTAGACATTAATAATCATTCATAACACTCTAAGGGTATTTACATAGCTTGTGTTTTGGGAGAGTGGAATGATTAGAGCAGGCTGTCTCGAACTGCAGAAATGGCAAATTCTGGAAGGGAGAAATAATAATTGAGTTGTGAAAGTAATTATATAATTTCAAAAGTATTTTAATCAGAGTTGAGAGGAATACTAGAGGCAAATTATAAAACAGAATTGCAGCTATAGCTCAATCAAAGAATATTTTTGTTCCAGGATTCTATTAATATTTAACAAGTATTAATTGAGTAGGACATTGTGTTCAACGCCTTGAAGCACACAAGACAGTCTCTGTCCTTAAGGAGCCTGGGCACAAATCAAATATTTTTAAAAAGGGCAGTGCACGCTTTAGCAACAAAACAATGCATATCACAGAAGTTAGAAGATATATAGACAATAAGTCTAGCAGGAGATAAGAGAAGAGAGGGGTCAATACAATAATATGGATTAATGCATCAAGCCTTATAGGTTGAGCAGAAACTGGGTATGAGGAAAACAGAGAAAAACATTCCAGATTGGAGATACAGGAGAAATGAAATCAGGAAAAAAAGAACATGTTTGGAAGTCCAGTGTTCCTTTGTTTATTAAGGACAGATGTCAGAGCTCCGGCAGTTCCTACCGAAATAATTCTAACCCAACTTTTCTATTTTGGTAGCTGCATGAATTTATAGATATCATTAAGCCTACAACTAAAAACAGTAATTTCAAAATGGAATGCATATGATTTTTAGAGGTATGTAGATCAACAAGTTTTATTATATACTCATATGGTTGTTTTATTGTTTATTGGGGGCAAATGGCATGTGAATCCATGACCACACAACGTTATTCCTTAGAATGAGGCTCATTTAAAGAAACATTTGGTTCAAAGCAGATTTAAGAATCCTATGAAATCAGGTGGTGACAGAGGAACAAAAATGACTGAAGCTTGGGAGACATTAAGCTCTGGTTTTGTCAGCTGTGCAATGATGGCCCATGTTCCCAACTCCATGATGCTAACGTCACAATTAAAACTCCTTATCATTCCCTGATTTGAATTTAACCCGTGTCAAATTTTCTTGACTGCTGCTTCAATGGGAGTTGATCTAAGGAAAATGAAATCCTTGACAACTTCAGTCTTTTTTCCATGTATCTTGATATCAGCAGTCAAGAAATCACACAAAGTATTGTATTGGGAAAATCTACTGCAAAGGACCTCTTTAAAGTGTTAAAGAGCAAAGATATCACTGAAGACTAAAGTGCACCTGACCCAAGCCATCATATTTTAATTGCTTCATATGCATGTGAAAGCTGGCCAACAAACAAGGTAGACAGAAGAGGAATTGATGCATTTGAATTATGGTGTTGGTGAAGAATATTGAATACACCATGGACTGCCAGAAGAATAAATCAATCTGTTTTAGATGAAGTATAGCCAGAATGTGCCTTAGAAGCAAGGATGGCAAGACTTCACCTCTCATACTTAGGTCATGTTTTCAGGAGGGACCCACCCCTGTAGAAGGATATCATGCTTGGTAAAATAGAGGGTCAGCAAAAAAGAAGAAGACCCTCTAGAAGATGGGCTGACACAAGATGAATGGCTGCAACCATGGGCTCAAGCATAGCAACGATTGTGAGGATGGCGCAGGACTGGACTATGTTTCATTCTGTTGTGCATGAAGTTGCCTGAAGTCAGAACTGACTCAATGGCACCTACAAGCAACACTGATTCAAGTTAATGAATGCAAATGGAATTGCTGAGGAAATGATCACACTTAGATAACCATGAGCTCTCAGCAATGTGACAAGGAGGGTGGATCTCCTCTTGACAATCTCCAAAGCCATAAGCAGTAAAGGGGTTTGTCTGCATAGCACTGACTTCTAAGAGCAGGTTGCTTATTTACATAGTATTGCTTTCTGTGGGTCTTCTTCACATGCTCTTCTCACTTCATATAGGTGACTAGGAGGCTTATCTAAGGTAGGACATTTGCCCTGGGTGTCACTTGAAGGGGGCACCACTGAGCAGTTTCTATTAACTCTGTATGGCCCAACGTCCTTCCTCAAGGTCCCCGGTAGACACAGTACCCCAGGAGGGAACTTGCCCCCAGGCACAAGTCCAAGGTCATCAGATAGGCACAGAATGCCATTCCAAGGTGTCACAGATATGAAAGGCACCTGAGGCAGGCAAAGGGGTGAAGGTATCTCTGTTAGTGCATCACCACTATCACCAACTATTCTTCTTGAAATTGCCCTGGCCCAACTTAGATATTGTCCCTGGGCTCTCATTACTTTCATTATGCCCCTGTAAAAGTGCAATTTCAGTGCTTGCCATAGGAGTTATTCTCTGTAGATTCACCTCTGAGTGACTATGAGCAGGACCAGGAGCCCAGTGCAAAATGCAAACGCAGCGCCCTTTATTTATTAAGAATTTAATAAATATTCAATTAAATTAATAATTAAATTCTTAATTATTAAGAATTTAAAGACAGTGACAGAAGAGCATTAAACCAAGCACAGGGCCCTCTGCAACTGCACAGACTGTACTCTCATGAAGTTTATCATGCATGACCTAACGATGAGTATAGTACTCTCATCAAAAGCAAGGATTGGAGTAAAACCAACAATGTTTAAAAAGTGCCTGCTGTAGCCAGTTAACAGTGGTGGAAGATACAAGAAACAACATGCTTTGTGCTCTTGTGGTATCGTCTAGTAAGTGAGGAAAGTGCCCTGATGGGAAGCAATGACAGGAAAAATGGTTAAAAGTGAGATGCCATAAAACCGGCATGCAGAAAAGATAGAGATGAGTGGCAATCATGGAAAAGGAAAGTTTTGGGGAACAGGTAACACTTACGCTTGGTCCTTAAGGAAGTATAGATTTGGAGAGAAGATATGGGCTGGGTAGCCAGGAAGGAAGTGAAAAGCAGGAGTTATTTAACCACCCCTTAATAGTAGCCAAAGGAAATAAAAAGCAGCAGTTCTAACAATTCTAATAATGGGGGAAGGAGAGCAATCACTTCTTCACTTGGAATAGATGTAGCCACTCAAACTCCAAAAACCAAACCCACTGCCTTCAAGTCAATTCCAACTCACAGCAATCCCCTTTGGGTTTCCAAGGCAGTAAATCTTTACTGAAGTAGATTGCCCAGTCTTCCTTCCACAGTTGCTGGTGGGTTTGAACCCCCAACCTGCCGGTTAGCAGTCAGATGCCTTAGGCACTGTGCTACCAGAGCTCCTTAGCCACAGTTTTTCATAACTGACCACTGGTTTAGCCACTCACTTTTAAGGGCTGAAAAGCAACTTTAAGGCCCTAATTGTCCCTTCTGTGTGAAAGAAGGCATGTAATTGGTACCTCAGAGTACAAGGACTCTAGTTATGTTCCTCCCTCCACCCCCAACTGCATCAACCATCCCTCCCACCACTAGTTACAGGAAACAGGCAGGTGGCTACCAGAAACTTATACACCCTGCCCTTTGGATCCTTAACAAGCCCAAGGCCTGGCTTCTCTACTCTTTCCAGTGGCTGCCAGGGAAGTGAGACACCAGGTGTGCACACCCAGGGGCTGTGCACACATTCCAACCTGGGCAGGCCTCATTAGCAACCTGACCAGCCTCCCCAGATGCTTTCTAATCTTTGCCCATGAGTGAGCCACCAGGTTTATCAGTTAGCAAAATCAGTGATTCAACAAAGAAAAAAGGCAGACATTCCTGCAGAAGGCAAGGATAGGAGACAGGAAGGAGAAAGAGATGCTGCTAAGAAAAGATGCCAGAGAATCCTTAAAATTTAAACCAAAAACATCCCCTTAGGTCTTATTAAAATCAAACAATAGTTTTGCTTAATTAGTGAAAAAAAATGTCTGGCTTGAGCATTATGCCCTTTTAAAAGCTGTCTATATGGGATTAGAGTGACAACAGCAACTGGAGAGATTAGATATGAACCTTAGGGGGCAGTGAGTTTATGTTAATTGGAAGGAGTAACTCAGAAGAGGAGGGTGAGAATGATTGCAAGAATACAATCAATATCCTGAAGTGTGCATGTATTACATTGCATACTTCATACACAGAATAAATTTAAAAATAAATTTTTAAGTAAGGAAGTTAAACTCCAATGAAAAATTCTCCACTTCATTCTCAGGGGGATTATTTACCTGTATAGCTCCTCACTCTTTTAACAACCATAAATCTAGAAACAACTGCTCCCAGCAATCCCTCCTCCCAAATAGGCAAAAAAGAAAAAAAAAAAAAAAAAAGAACGGAGACTAGTGAGGACTTACCACAGGGAAATGACTCTCTTCTGGTCCGGCGACTCGGCCTCACTGGACGGGGTGGGAGACTGGGCTGTTGGCGACTTGCAGACTTTCTTTTTCTCCTCCACACCATTCTCAGCCTCTGAGCTGGAGAAGAGAGAAAAACGCTTCACCTTAACCATCCAGAAGGGGGTAGAAGGAAAAACGAAGACGTAACCACCTTGGAATGATCTTCACTCCTCAGTGATGGGCCAGTCAACTTTGGCAGCTGAGCCCTTTCCAAATCCCCATTCTAACCCCTCCTAGTTCTAACCCCGAGGGCAGTAGCTGCAGGGCAGGCTGCTTAGTTTGTAAATGCCTGCTTGACTGTGCCACGACTTGCTTGGCTTATCACCAGTTTGCACCTGTGGGGCACACGCTGCCCAGCTCTGTCCAAGTCTGCCCTGCTTAGCATGTGCTGGGGCGGCAGATCATCTGCAGGCTGGGAGGGCCCCCGCTCATGCTCACGTACAGCTTCCTGCCAGGTGTGAGCCTTCCGGCTGGGAACCCCCTCAGCCCTTTGTTTGCCCTTCTCTAATGTCACTTACCACCTTTTGTAATTATCTTGGTCCCATTGTAGTTATCTTGGTCCCATTTTTGGCTGTTGTTATTTTAACCAAGCACTAAAAAACCCAAAAAACCAAACTCACTGCCATCAAGTCTGTTTGGACTCTTCTCTATAGAAGAAGATTGCCCAGCCTTCCTTCCCAGGAGTGGCTGGTGGGTTTGAACCACCAGTCTTCTGGTTAGCAGTCAAATGCCTTAAGCACTATGCCACCAGAGTTCCTAACCAAGCACTACAACAGAATTTTATATATATAGTTTCCAATCTTCACAACCACTCAGGCTAGGCAGGAATTATTATCCCCATTCTACAGATTACCAATTTCAGGCTCTCAGAAGTTGAATATCTTGCCCAAGTCCACAGAGCTAGTGTCCACCTGAACTGGGATTCAAACTGAGGTCTGTCCATTTCTAAGGCCTTGGTGTGGTATGAACCACTATATATCCACCTCTCTTTCTCTTTCGCTCTCACACACTCAGATATCTATCCATTCATTTATTTTCTTGCTCTTGTTAGCTCTTCAGTGTGACAGCCCCAGAGTGGGGCAAGAGTTTTAATAATTTTTATACTGACCATGGGGTCTAGTAGAGCACTTGTGTATATACCAAATACCAAAACCAATCGCATTCATAGCAATCCCATAGGATAGAATAGAACTGCCCTTACAGGGTTTTCCAAGGCTATAAATCTTTATGGAAGCAGACTGCCTCATCTTTCTCCCACAGAGAGGCTGGTGGATTTGAACACCCACTCTTTTGGTTAGCAGCCCAATGCTTTTACCATAGTGCCACTAGCACTCCATTGCTTGTATAAAGTCATGGTTAATAACTATAAATGTGATAGTCTATAATAATAGTTTGGTATTCATATCCTTCCAGATTGTTTTCTAAGTATATAGGTCATCACCATGTTATGAACAGTTAGACATATATAACCCCTATGAACCAATCCCTATAAAGCCTATCACAAAGATTCGAGTACATACAATGGTTCGTAATAACAAACACATGCTACTTTGTGATGCACATCAAAATATTATTACTCTATTATTATGTTAAAGATGTTTTACCTTATCTAGACATGCTTCTTTAATGAATTTTATGCATAGAAAGGTACATTATATACTATATACCAAGACAAACATTTGGCTGACATTAGATATAAATTGTAACTGTTCCAACTTATGTACAAATTATACTTAAAGACAGACCTAGGAATAGATCTTATTTGTAACTTGAGGCTTGTCTGCATACTAGCACACAAATATGTTTAAATGCGACCACACTATATATTTTTATGCAACTTGTTTTTCTTCTACGTGTGGGCACCATGAGTTGGGGGCCATCTTGACAGGAGTTAACAACAAAAATATGTGGTAGATTAAATTTTAACAGCCTCATACTATTTCATTATAAATGTTTCCATGATCTATAGTTTATTTAACCTTTCTCTATAGCTGGAAATTAAGTGTGTTCCTATTTTTTTACTGTAACAAATACCTGCTTAAAAGTAATTTGCATACCTGTGTTTTTCTGTGTACTAGGAGTAGAACTTTGGGATTCAAAGAGTGTTGTTGTTATGTGCCGTCTAGTCAGACCTGACTCATAGCGACCCCTTCTTGGGTTTCCAAGGCAGTATCACTACGGAAGTAGATTGCCCCATCTTCCTTCTGG